AAATTCAATTAGTCGTGAAGTATATTATTTTAACCGATTAATATATATTATAAATAGATGTTTTACGCTTTAAACTAATTCCTTCGCTCCAAAAAAATATTATGACATAAAAAATAAATTTATATGGTAATTTTTGAGAATTATAATCCAATAATTTTTTTGAATAAAATTATAATTCAATTTGTATCTCGGTTTTTTATCGAAAATAAAATTATAAACTTAAAATTTTATCCTAAAATTCAATCCAAATAGTATTCTAAATTAATCTTTTTTTATTTTATTTTATGAAATCTATTTAAATTTATACGCAACACCTGGCAAAAAGTTGGAACGCCAAGTGTCGCAACATCGTGACCTAGCTAAAAGTTTAGCTTTATATATTAGTTATATGATATGATATGTCATATAATAAATTAAATATTAATCATTTTTTTTGGTGTTCCACTCGGTTCACCCTTTGGATTAATACGGATTGTAGATTAGTTCTGGTGGTTAGGTTCTAGTCCTCTCCCAATTGTTATTGTGGGGGATCGAACACGAGTTATTCGTATCAAGTGTAGTTTCAATCACCACTACACCACACATCCAATTGGTTATGAAAACTAACAATAGAAAAGTGGAGACACTACACCTTTTTTCTTGTAACTTGTTTTAAATTTTTTGACTTCCGAAAAAAAAAGAAAAAATTGAAAACAAAAAACGATTTCAAAAAGCCAAGACTTTATTTTAGTATTACTCCTGCATTTAGGGCATTTTCTCTTCAACTTATTTCAGTTCAGTCCAGCTCCAATAAGGCCCCGTTCACTTCACCTTATTTTTGCTGAAATGAAATTATTTTAACTGAAACAAAATTATTTTTGCTGAACTTAAATGATTTTTGCTAAACTGAAATTATTTTTTTATTGATTTCTATTATAATTCTTCTTTAAAATAACTGAATTTTACTGAACTAAAATTAATTTTACTGGATTGAACTTATTTTTACTGAACTAAAATTATTTTTACTTAATATTATTTTTTAAAGATGAAGTGAACAGGGCCTAATTTCAGTTCAGTTCTTAATTTCCTTCTCTTATAAAATATTCAGTTTAGTCCAATAAGTTTAGTTCAGTTTAGTTCAGCTCCAATAAATACAATTCATTCCAGTTCATCTTATTTCAATTAATCAGAACAAACCCTTAATAGTATGGAGTACTTGTGAATAGAAATATACTCAATCAATTTTCTTTCTTTTAGTTTTAGCTTGAATTTGAATCAATGGGTCAATGTTCTATATATTGCTTAGTAAAAGAGGCCCATAGAATCGTAGGTTGATGCCCTTGGTCCATTTCACCTGCCTTTTGGGCTTTGGGGCATTGCACATTTGAGTGGAAACTGCGCCAAGCTTTATTGAAAAATGTAGTAATAACTAATAAGGTTCATCTAACTATAATAAGAGTGGTCAAGTATTTGCTCCTTTGGAGCTTTGTTTTTTTGTTTTTTTGTTTTTTTTTAAAAAAAAAAAAGGTGATCAAGTGTGCAATCTATTCATCTAACTATACTAAACCGTTAGAAATCTAAAGTGTTAATCACTAAGCTATTGTCGTACAAAATATTACATAATGTTAATCTTTCAAAAGTACATGTAAGACAATTTGAATAACTAAATTGAATTAATGCAATAACTCGAGGCATCGTCCGAACCTAAGATCTTGTTAAATTTATATAAGCTTATATTTTATATAGCCTTCTGACTTATTAGCATTATTACTAGCAACCTGTTCATAATGAATGGCCACCAATAATTGATCGTGTGTTCAAATCTAGATTATTATAAATAGAGAAAATACATTTGACGCTCACTGATAAATAACTTTAGATAAAATATTACTCAATACTACGGAAAGTAGTATTGCTTTTATTACTCTTTGATCTTTTGTTCATCTTGAAAGAGTGCCAAGAATTTTAGGGGCAAAGTTGGAACATCATGAACCATGATGTAACCAAGTGTTACATTTGCTTATGTATAGTGTATGTTTGCATGCATACATCATACATGTTGCGTAGAATTTGAGTTTTCCAAAATCAGAAATATTTTATACAGAGTTGCCAAATTGGGGTGTATATAATATGAATATGACGCTCCATTAGTATAAAGAGTTGTGTTTTTTTTGGTAGTGTGTCGTGTAGTTAATTAGGAGCTTGTGATTTGTTCCCTAATCCCGGTTATCTTACCGAGTATTTTCTAATAGATTGTAATTAGGGTTTTTGGTTTAGAAGGTAATCTAAGACTTCTAACCTCTAACCGATTTTCTTTTGCGTGTGTAAGAAAGTCTACATGACCATGCATGAAGTGGGGAGTACACAATCGTGTATATGTAGTAGGGTACATTCGTACATGATCGTATAGTCTCTAGTTTAACCGTGTGAATTTGGAAAATATTTATCAAAACTTATGTGAATTGATTATTTTTGAACTTATATATAAAGTCAAGGAAATTTAGCAAACTTAGCTAGTAGTTTACAAATAGAGCTAAGGAAGTGGAACACTCACAAAGACCACTTCCTTATTAGCTCCTCCTTTACAAATTATTTTATTTAGTCTTGATGCATATGGTCTCGACAGGGGCGGAGCCATGTAGGAACAAGGGGGGACGGTTGTCCCCCCATTTTTCCAAAAAAAAATTTAATTTATGTTAGCTTAAATAAATGCTGTAAATAAGAATAAATACCTTACATGTATACCTTATATAACAAAGACAACATTTGGTCTGGTGGTTGATGGGCTTGAGTAAAGCTTGTATTTCTCTTTGATCCTAGGTTCGATTCTTTACCCGATCAATTTTTTTGTTTCTTTTTGCTATTTTTGGATTTTATTTTTATTTCATTTTATAGTTTATACAAAGTGCTCCTATTTAACTTCTTTTTCTTGTTTTTGGATTTTGCCATTTTTTTTTTTACTGGTTTTTTAAATTTCATTATATAGTATGTAATTTATATATACAAAGTATTATAAGTCTTCAAACCTCTAATTACTCTCATTTAACTGTTTAATCAAGTATCGCCTTGTTGATAGTGATTACTAATGTGTTATTAAACTATTTGTAATGAACACATGTCTCCGTATTTTTTTATCTCTCTAATTATGTGTGTCTAAATTCTATTTTTTTTATAGCTTGTTTGGAACTAAGTTTCCAATTTTATTTTTAGTCAAAGAAAGTTTATTTATTTATTATTATTTTTTTTTTAAAATGTAACCCAAATCCCTTTACATCTACTATCAATTTGTGTAAATGCTTATCATTTGATAAATCATATTTATCGATTATTAAGGATTACATACCTTAAAATTAGGGTTTACCAGCATAAAAAAAAAAAAAAATTTGGTTAATAAATTTCTTAATATGCAATTAATTTTTTAACAACTCCTCTTTCACCATATAAGAATAATTGTCATATCTCATAAGCGATTTCAAATATATATTAAACAATTTATGTGATCAATTTCTTTTTTCTTATAATTATTGTCGATTATTAAACATCTAAAAATTGTCCCCCCAGATTACAAATCCTGGCTCCGCCACTGGGTCTCGAGGCACCCACAAAGGCCACAATACACAATACCAAAGTAAACCTATTATTGTAATTTATTTATTTATTTTTATTCTTGGCAAATCCTTGTATTGTAACTTCTTACAATCCTATGGAGTATTATATAGAGTCACAAAGACCAGTGATACAAATAATACTTGCATTGATTCCGTAACCTAGTTATCATTTACAATTACATCTTTATTGTACAATTGTATTTATAATATACTTACAATAATTAGTTACGATTAAAGAGGTTGAGTTACTCAAGAGATTACCATAGTACATTAGTATGTAAATAATATAAGATAATACAATATAAGCCAGTTTTGATTGCTTTGAGTTTTAGAAGCCATTTTATGTTATTTGTTGATTTTGTCATAGTCAAATGCTGCGTAGAAGGCACCATTTCTTATTTCAATTATAAAAAGTCAACTGTCAAACATCATCAACTAACTTTGATGATTCAAAATAGCATGTACGCACGCACACAATCGTGTATTGACCACAAACCCCACTAACTATTCAACTTATACAAGCATATATCCCCCATGATTTCACATTCATCATTTTTTGGTCCAATCTTAAGAGCTTTATTTCAAATTAAAGGGTTAATTATTCCAAATGATATAACTAATCTTACAATTTTTTTTTATTTAAAAATAAAGTTAAGAAGGGCTAATAAGCTAAATTGTATGTGGATTAGATTTATTTAGTGAAAAAAAAGTTCTTGCCTTTAGAAAATAGTTATTAGTACTTCGTAGTTAAGTAATTTTCACTCATATGAACTTTTATTATTTTATTATATAAATTTAGGATCTGTTCACTTCAACTTAATTTCATTTTAGTTCAGTTCATTTTAGCTTTTAATTTCTTTCTCTTATAAAATATTCATTTCATCTCTATTCAGTTCAGTTTAGCTCCAATCAGTTCAGTTCAGCTCAATTCAGCTCGGTTCAGTAAATGTGAACAAGCCCTTACTTAAACTCATTTGAATTATTAATTTTCTAGAACTTATCTTATTTGAAGTTGTTTTTTTCCTAAAATTATTAATAAATAAAAGAAAAGAACTAACATGGCTTAAATATCATCCCGCATCATCTACCTATAAAATCCATGTTTTGTTCTCTTAAACTTATTTTTATTGAATTAAAATTAATTTTACTAAAATAAAATTATAAATTATTTTTGATGGATTAAAATTAATTATACTGATCAAAGCTTATTTTTCTAATATATATATTTTTATCTAACATTACTAATTATTACGATTACTGATTAAAAATTCATTTTTACTAACTGAACTTATTTTTCACTGAACTGAAACTGAAATTATTTTTTACCGAATTAAAAATACGTATATAGTGATGTCATGTATTTCATAACAGTATCATTATGCCAGTTGACTAGTATTAGTATATTGATGGAATATGCTATTGTACCTTAAATGTTGTTTAAAAGTAATATCATAGCATATATATTATTACCTTATATAAAATGATTTTGCCCAAAAATGAGAAGATTATTTCCATGCACAAACGATAACATACAATTCTCCATATCACATCCTTTGATTCTCTTAAAAAAAAAAAAAAATTACAATATCCAAATCCAAAATTACAAAACATTTTTTTTAATCTACCTTTTCACCTAACCTAAATAGTAAAAAATACACTATATAAATAAAGTTGACGGGCTTCTATTGCTATGAGTTTTGCTCTCTCTTCAAATTGTGTTTCCTTTTCTCTCCTCCTCCCTCAAATCACTCTAATAAGGTAATTTCTCTCCCCCTTTTTTTTCCTCTCTCTTCATATAATTTTTTTATTATATATTTTTGTTTAATATAATAGGTGCAAATTATCATAGAATAGGGTTTTAGTTTTTTTTTTTTTTGGGTTTTTTTTTTCTTGTATAAATTTAATTTTTAATTTATGAATATACATAGGATTGTTGGTATAGTTCATGAATTTTTTTTTCTCTCAAATTTATTTTCTTCATTTTTGTATAAAAACATTTTGTTATATAAAAAATGTATAGCTTTGGTTCCTAGATGATTTATTTTTTCTTTTAGTTTTTCATTAATTTTGATTTTAATTAATTCAAAGGAATATAAAATTAAAGTAGGAGAGCAATAATAGGGACCCATCAACCTCATTGAAGTGCAATATAATCAAGTAATTACTTGCCTTTAAAAACATTGAATTCTTTTTTATTATACAAGTGTTCTTTTTAGATGTTAGAGAGTCAAGTCATTTTTAATATGTACTTTAAATAAAAATAATTATTTTATTATTAACAACAACGAACAATTCAATCCAGCACAGATGCCTATTGAAACGGAGGATTTGGACCCACCCGATAGCGACTCGGAGCCGTTTGTGGAGGTGGACCCCACGGGGAGGTACGGCCGCTACGACGAACGCCTCGGTGTTGGGGCCGTGAAGAAGGTGTATAGGGCATTTGATCAAGAGGAGGGCATAGAGGTGGCATGGAACCAAGTAAAGTTGAAACAATTTAGTGGCGATAGTTCTATGATAGATAGGTTATTTTCTGAGGTTAGGTTATTACGGAGTTTGAAAAATAAAAATATAATCGCGTTGTATCATGTTTGGGAGGATAAGGCTCATAACACATTAAATTTTATTACCGAAGTTTGTACCTCGGGAAATTTGAGGGAGTATAGGAAGAAACATAAGCAAGTTTCTTTAAGGGCTTTAAAAAAATGGTGTAAGCAAATTTTGAAAGGGTTGGAATATTTGCATACTCATGAACCTTGTATCATACACCGCGATCTCAATTGCAGCAATCTTTTTGTCAATGGTAACATTGGTCAGGTAACAATCCGATTCTTTGCTTATTATTTTTAGTTTTTTTCGAGTTGATTCTTTTTTTTTTTCCTGATATGATATGTTATGTCGGACATGCTTATGTGTGCATCATTTTTAATTTTCAAATGAAACATTTATTGTCTAGAGTTGTGTCGCGATTTCTAGAAACACGACATAAAATCTTGCAATAGTTTATTAGGTGTAAATGAGCTTTACTTTAGTCCTGTTTGATTTCATTCCAAACTAGATTGCTATGTCATGTGATGTGATTTCAATGTTTACTTGATTTCATTCCAATTATATAAATATATGATTTTTTTTTTTTTTGTGATCTTGTTATCCTTTACTCCGGAATTTATATTTAAAATTGATTATTTCATATAATTTAATTTAAAAACACGATTATATTCTTTTTTACTTTTATTAGTTAAAAAAGATAAGTAATTTATATTTTTTTGAAATGAAAGTCACAACTTTTTAAGTATAGGTTAGGATAATATACATACTAATTTATAAGTAAAATTTTCTCTATCAACATTTAATATAATATTGTTTTAAAACTATATAGTATAGAATATAAATGTTAAAAGTCTTTGATATATAAGAGTGGCGTTATATATATTGCAATAGGTGAAAATTGGGGATTTGGGTCTAGCAGCAGTAGTAGGAAGGAGCCATGCTGCACATTCCATCCTAGGGACACCGGAGTTCATGGCGCCGGAGCTTTATGACGAGGACTACACCGAGCTAGTCGATATCTACTCATTTGGAATGTGTGTAATTGAACTTGTTACCATGGAAATACCTTATAGTGAATGTAACAACGTCGCTAGGATATATAAAAAGGTGACATCCGGGTTAAGGCCTCAAGCCCTTGACAAGGTTAAGGATTCGGAAGTGAAGGCGTTCATTGAGAAGTGCCTAGCTCGGCCTAGGGCTAGACCCTCTGCGACCGAGCTCTTGGCTGATCCTTTCTTTGATGACATTATTGATGATGATGAAAGCAATGAACAAGAGTAGATGAAGAATGTTAGAGATATGAATATTTTTCCGATATTTCATATCTCTAACAAACTAGTAGAAACTTGCATAGATTTTTATAGGAATTGAGCCTCCAAAGTTTTTTATATTTTTGTTGTAGGCTTGGTTTCATATCTTTGTTACATGTTGCATGATTTGTTGGACTATACAATATTTGGTAGGTTATTATGTAATATTTGGTTTGATCTAGGTTTTTTTACATAGGAAAAAAAAAGTGTTTTGAGGGAAATAATAAAGGTTTAATTAGAATTTGGGAGTGAAATTTATCTCTGGGATTACAAAAATGTAAATATAATTTCCAGGGAGATTATATATTTGGATGGTATTTGATCTGAATTTCTATTGTGTTGCACATTATGTTTGGCATATATAATGAATTCCTTCTACTTTAATTTCTTAGTATTATAACTTATGTTTTCTATTATATATATATATATATATATATATATATATATATATATATATATATATATATATATATATATATATATATACTATAATAATAATCATTATTGTTTTAATACATGAATTAATTAGGTGAATTGGTTAAGTCAAAGTTAAAGTAGGAATCTAAATATGTAAATAAATAAAAAAAGTTGTTAGGAAAATTGGTAATCACATATTGAGTGATTGAGCCAAACCACAACTTTGGAGGATAAATTGCTAATCACAGCTCATCACCGTAACCTGAAAGTGCTATTGCAATAACCATAAAGAAACCTTCCTTCCACACTTTTCTTCCCTTCAACTTTTTCTCAAGTCAACTATGCGCATGTTGTTGTATGCTATGTAATGAAAAATATACTTGTACAATACAATTATTGTATTAATCATACGTGTGTGATCAATTAGACTTATTGAAAGTACAATAAAAGAATATACATTTTGTATGAGAACAAAGTAGAAAATGTAGAATTTTTGCATCGGTATATATGAGACCTTATTAAGCTAAGTTACATTTTATTAGGTTAATCAATAATACATAATTTAAGTAAGTAAATAATACTTTTATAATTAACTATTCACAATTTTTAGAAATCAAATTATAACTTTGAATAGTTAGTTGTATTTTAGTCACATCATAAAAGGCTAGGACATCCTAATACTTTTGAGGGTGGATTCCTTGCCAATAATCTCCAATACAAAAAATCATTGCCACATAAAATGTTAGAATGTGTACTTTTGCATGTAAAGTAAAAAGAAGAAGATAGTGTTTGAAAAAATGTTATTCTCTTAATTTCCAAAATTTTCAATGACAAACTTAAGAAAGCGACACAAAAGTTTCATATGGAGTAGTCACCCCATAAATTATACTCGTACTAACATACACTAAATACTTCGCGTTCCTAATAACCAAGAATAGATTACGTGTATCAGTGTATGCACATGGGTAAGAGAGATTTATTACTATCTTCATCCAAAATTTATGTAAGATTTTATATATAGTTAATTTTGGACGGATTGTAATTATTCTCTTACCCACGTGCATACATACACGTAATCTATTTAACTTTTGAAAAAAATGTCAAAGAGGGGTTTTATATATTCTGCTAATTTCAATAACAATTTTTCTTACTTGGGGAGACAATTATGTTTAAACAAACTTCAAAGTTGAAAACTAAAAATCATGAGAATTCAAAGATTAATTAATTTGAGAAATAAAAAATGGCAGACAAAGTATTTAAGGACAATAATTCTGGATAGCTGACATATTTGAGTGTGTTGCTAAAAGATGTGCTATTGTGCTAGTCCTACTAGCAAGAGTAATAATTATTATTCTTCTTTTTTATTTTTATTTTCCTCTTAAATTAAAACACATAATAAAGTGGTAAAGCAATACTTGTATTTTTTAAGCATGAGAAACCTTTCGGCGGTTTACTATATTATCAATATATCATTGTGCATGATTTCTTCCTCTTTATGACTTTTTTTTTAAGGATCTCAATCTTTATATCCTTTTGAGGATCTTCTATGGAGAATGAAACAATTATGCTTCTAATATTTCAAATACTCTCACCGTTTCTAACATACGTTCGTATTTGTTTTAGTGGCAATTACCATCGCACAATATAGATTATGTAAGTGTTCAATCAAGACAGATAGTCGGCATAGTTTAAGTGATGCATTTATTTTGAAACCGAGGAAATAACTAGAGAGATTGTCTTCCGTAGTCAAGACTCAAGAGCATGCTTTCTCATAAAGATGTACTTGAAATTTATCGTTACCAAAAGGATGAAAAGCAAATTTGAATCGCTTGAACGTTAGTGTAAGAAAGAAGGGTGAATGTCGTGATCAATCAACCTCTTAACTAAAGTTAGGGATCAAGGAAAAAGCCACATGATAAAAGTTAAATTAGTGAGAATAGTGAGCATTAAGTTTCTTATTGATTTAAAGATGAACATTGTATAATGCAACAAAACATCTTAGGACTCATTAAGATTTAAAGATTTTATTATGTTCACCTTACATTTACTTAAAGTTTTAAAAAATAAAAAAAAATAAAATAGATAAGATAGGGAAAAAAATAAATTTTAATGGCATCCGATAGTGTTTAATAATGGTTAACCTAGGCCCATGCATGACGCTACCTATTGGATATTGCATCACCCAACTTTGGCAACTAAAACTAACAAACTTCGTCCTAATTAATGCGAACCAGATTTAATCCTGTCAAATCTTGAATATCTATCTTAAGATTTTAACGAGTCAGCTAAAATATATTTACATCTTGACCTAATAAGTGATCATCATAATAGATTGCTTCGACCTAAGCTAGCCATTAGCCAACACTTTAAAACCTAACATGCATGGAGTAACATCTCCCTAATTAGTTAGTCATCTTCATAGATCGCTTCAACCTAGCCAACACTTTAAAACCTAACCACGGAGTAACATCCCCAAATTTAATTTAGTCACTTAATAGGTCGATTCGACTTAGCCAACACTTTTATAACCTAACATTTGATGATTATACAAGTGATGAATGTAACAACAAAATTCGCAATTAGTATTAACCCAATATTTTTCAAAAAATATGCTCAGAAAATACAGTGGAGTGATTAGTGACCGAATGAAGCTATAAAAGCAAGACTTAAAATGAAAAAATAGATAGCTCGCGTCAGGTAGGGGTCGAACCTACGACCTTCTGCTTAGGAAACAGACGCTCTATCCACTGAGCTACAGACGCCTTTCTTGTCATATGATGTTTTCTAATGATTACATATATGATGCAAGTATAAGTGTAATATACATACAACTATATTAAAAAAGAAATCAAGCTAACCTTTTAATCATGTACTCCATACTTCATGTTAACTTTGTGGTTTACTACTATTGATAGGTTGCAATTTTTAGACATATATTACTCCCTTCGTTTTTATTTTCTTATAAAGTTATGTACATTTTGTTATTTTTACGGGTATTAATTAGAAAAATGCTTTGGAAATAGGTAAAATGACAACATTTGCTTTGAGAGTAGGTAAATATTTTTGGAAACATATGCTTTAAGATTTAAGAGTAGGTAAAAATATTGATCATTGGTGAGTGAGAATAGTTGCTTTGAGATTATTGTATGTAAATATGTAGTAAATAAATGGGAATAATTGCATTGGAACTTCGGAAGTAGGTAACTATGGGGATATTATTGGACGTAGAAGCATTACCAAAGAAAAGACACGCTAAAATGAAGACATAACCAAAGAGAAGAAATGCTAAAATTGAAAACTTAACCAGAGAAAAGAAATGCTAAAATGATAATGTAATTACAAAAGAGAAACGAAGGAAGTATGTTTGTTGATTGCATAAAACTCAAATTTATTTAACTTATGGTTGTGAGTTGATATATACCATATACTACATCATGCATAAATGCATTTTCTTAAATGGTATAAATATGAGAATTTATGATAAAATCATGCATGGTTCAATGTTATTAAATGCAAAATAATCTGTAATCTCTTTCTTTACCTTCTTATATGAAAGTTGCATTTACCTTTTAAGTATATATTGTTGCAATTCTATCATATACAGAGTACTTCATATGACAGATTTGCATGTATTATAGAGATAAAAATGCAAATTGTTATACTAAAGAAATCCCGATATTCTTTTAATGTTTTGATTTCAGTGAACTTTATTGTAACAATTTAAATCTTTATTCTTACTTGGTCGATTTTGGAATAAATTGCTAATAGTAAGGTTAGTTGTATATAAATGATGGAAAATTTGGGATATGATATTTCTTTTTAATGTTTTGATTTCAGTGAACTTTATTGTAACAATTTAAATCTTTATTCTTACTTGGTCGATCTTGGAATAAATTGCTAATAGTAAGGTTAGTTGTGTATAAATGATGGAAAATTTGGGATATGATATTCTTTTTAATGTTTTGATTTCAGTGAACTTTATTGTAACAATTTAAATCTTTATTCTTACTTGGTCGATCTTGGAATAAATTGCTAATAGTAAGGTTAGTTGTGTATAAATGATGGAAAATTTGGGATATTTATCTCTTACTTGATCCATATATTGAGCATTTTTACAAGAGTATAGTTCTTTTTCGTGTATGAATAATCACATATATTAGAAGATTGTTGTCGTCCCAAGAATTTGTTCGCTTTAAGTTTTTGAGGAAGAGAAATATAAAAATACTCGTAAACAAAATGCACACATTTTTTTTATCTAATTATATTAAAGCTAAGAAAATTTAGTAGTGCAATGACTATATAGACGATAGATATTTGTCATATGATGGAAGTCATTCAATAGATTTTAATATTGTATTTAAGTCTATAGACTCCCTCAGACTTTTATATCCCTAATGACTTGAGAAATCATATTAATTAATGTGATTAGACAGATGCCCTAGTGAATTAATAAGCATTGCTGATCGAAGAACAAGCAAGTTGGTGAGCTAAAAATTAAACATACATATATTTGCATAGCATGGGCAAAGTAGAACGAACCAATTTGTACAATTAGCAAACATGTTGTGCTAAAGTTTAACTTACGACTAAGCTTTACCTCCCTCCGTTTTATTCAAAGAAATTTAACTATGACATTACTCAGATCATATACTTCTATTCACAATGGCATTGTTTGACAATTGGCTGATGGTTGTAGGTTGTTGATTGGTTTGATTGGCTGATTTGACTGGCTATTTGTATTGACTTTTTTTGTTGGTTGTTTGACTTTTTATTAGTCTAAAAACATGTTTGGTAAAATTGGATGTTGGATGTTATTTGTAACTTAGGTAGCCAAAAGCTACTCCAAGTAGCTATTTCATTTTGGCTTAAAAGCCAGTTTTTCAGCTGGCTGAAAAATCTATTTACCAAACACAAAATTTGGATGTTTGACCAAATAAAAAAAAGCCAAAAGTCAAAAGTCAATGAAAAGCCATTTACCAAACAAGCCCAATATAATTTAAAAGCATTGTGCAACACTTATGTATTATTCATAATAGACATATGTATACTTGTTTGGTTGGCAATAATGTGGGAAGTGAAACTTCTTAGGAACTTTTACTTCCCACAAAACGGAGGAATTAACTTACCTAATCCCTCCTAGGTAAATAAAACTTCCCATGGGAAGTAGAAATTCCAACATCCAACCAAACAATATTTGGCAATTCCTAGGAATTACAATTTCATGGGCATTGAGTTTTCAAGGGAATTTCTACTTCCTACATGCAATCAAACATTAGAAAGGTAAGTAAGTACAGAGTAATTGTTCTCCGGGAATTCGCTAATATTTGACCTTAATAACATAAAAAGATCACAAAGTCTTACATGTGGTTGACCACACGGTGTGGTCATCCAATATATGAATTACTTTATTAGTGTAATAAGAGTTACTTGGTGAGTGTTAAAGGGGCTATTTCGTCAGTGTTATAGAAGGTCAGTGTTACAGTGATTACTTCATTTTTTTAAAAGTGGTCATACGGTGTGCCCAGCCACACACAATTAAGACGGGTTGCAAAAAGATTAAAGCCATAAGTAGTAATCTTAATCTTAAACATAAAAAAACCCTAGTTTGCACAAATCCACATGATCGAGCTACCCTTTACAGTAACAATAAATATCACGTTGAATTCATTTTCCAAGTATTACTTACCAATTTTGGAAAATTCATAGCTCAACATTTGATAAACCTCTTTTAATACTTGTACTACTACCAATCAACACACCTTGAATTTCGTAGCAGCAAAAAAGAACGGTCTAGATTTGATGCTGTATGGCTTTTACTCCTCTGTTTCTTTCACAGTATCTAATTTTATTCATTTTTTTTCACATTATCAATTTAATCAAACACAGAACATTTAAAAATATACTGTACCATTGAAGTGAAGAATATATATTATTGGCAGGAGAGAAATTATTATTCATTTATACCCAGAAAAAAAGGGGTGATCTTTTTGCAAATGGGGAAGAGAAAATCTCGAGTTTTAACTAAGAATGATGATGATGATGATACTAAATCACCCAATTCAGGTTTATTTTTAATTATTATCATTATTTTTTTTTTCCTCCCATTTGTTAATGTTTGATAATGTGATTTTTTTTTTTGTTGAGGTAATTTACAAGAATATGTAGTGAAAATTACAATTTTCTGGGATTTTTTTTAATGGGTATTTGTTAAGTGATTTTAATTATAAGCTTTGGCAATTTAAAGCTTGAATTGGAATAATGTCTATGGTGTGTTGTGGTTTTTATTTTTGTATGTTTTTGTTTAGGCAATTTCAATTTCATTTGCGGTTTTAGTGTTAATGTGTGTAAGATTGATCAATATCGGATATTAATCTAGACTTTCTCTGCCTTCAATTATTGATATAGTGTATTTTGGTGGAGTGCAATTGTGCAAAATTGAATTTAACAAACAGTCAGAACTTTATAGAAAAATTATTTCTTGAGGCTTGAGTATGTGTACTGATGTTTGTTCAAGGACTAGTATATTATTTCTGCTGAGTATTTTGATTATCATTTCATCTAATCTGAATAACATGAATCAAATTTCAGAAATGTTTGTTCAGTATATAAGGTTTTAATGTATCATATACTATAGTTAAATGTATAGGACTAAATTTTCATAAATTGTTTATGAATGTGTTTGTGTTTTGTGCTAGGAGGTTAGTTTGATCACTATTTATCAGAAAATCTAGAGTTTTTAAAGGTTCATCTTGTCAGTTATGTTAAAAAATTTGTCTATGAGGAGACTATTATGATGTTATCTGTCTTGATGAGGCTTGAGATCCTCTTATTGATCGCGTTGATTGGCATTAACTTTAAAATCTTACTTTGATCATCATGTACTCCTCCCTTTGGAAATAAATCGTATATACGGACTATGGAGTCATGTTTAAGGATGCTAGGAAAAAGTTGTCACTTTGGTTAAGTGATGCAAGAAGATTGAATGACTTAAATATTCTGATTGATGTCATAATTTTGATTAGAGGGGTAAGGAGAATGTGTCAACTAACTTAGCAAGCCTAATTTTAGAAGCAACTGATCAAACGTCTATTGTTGACAGAAATATATGAAGATGGTCCTGTAACATATTACTGTGATGTCAATACCGGGGTGATGTATAGAAAGGATGCGGAAGCATCAAAGGAGAGACTTGAACCGTGTCTCATAAAATCAAAGAGCAGAGGTAGACAGATATCTGGAAAGCGCTCAAAGATGGGTAGTTGTACATTTGATGAAAACTTGGAGTAAGTTTCAACCCATTGAACAACAATACAGGATCCTGTATAGTCTTCACAATTCTTATGCATGATTCCGGAACTTGTAGGACTATTTGGAGGAGTTTTTCTGAAGACAAGAGGGCTGCATTTGCTCACTTGGATAGCTTTTATTATTTGATTTATAAATCCAGAAGAACTCGTGCTTTGGAATTGATAAAAAAGAAGCACATTTTCTCAAAGAAGTATGTTTTGTTTCCCATTGTTTGCTGGTATGTACTGGCATATTCCTTTCCTCATCATTTTTTTTTTCCAATTTTGTAATGCAAGTTTTCGTAGAAGTTTATTGGTTAATATGCTCTGATTGTGAAGCTTTTGTAGCTCGTTTAGTTGTTGATGTTGTTCTGATTTTCCTTACTGTAGGGATCACTGGAGACTAGTGATTTTCTGCCATTTTGGTGAGGCTGTTAGCTCTAAAACCAGAAGCAGGTGCATCTTATTGCTCGATTCTGCTGAGACGAGTGCAGATGTTATTGGACCTGTTGTGAGGAAGTATGGTCTCAGCCTAATTTTATTTTTGCTTGTTCAAGTAATGATTTGAAATTTGTTTTTTTTTTTTTTTGATGAAATTGGTTCATATAACATACTGCATTGCAGGCTTGTCTTCGATATATTTAAGGCTGAGGGTCGACCTGAAACCAAAAATGACATATACCAAATACCTCTGAAGATGCCTAAGGTAGATATTCTATATATAATAGGATTTGCAATAACTTAACCAGACATTTATTATTACATCTTTCACTTTAAATTCATATGATTGTGCTACTTTATCATTATCTCTTTGTTGTATACTTGTACGCGGTATTTTGTTTATGGATTCTTAGCTGAAGCAACTCTGATAAATGTTAACACAATTGTTTTCAGGTTCCCCAACAGACAAATGACTTCGACTGTGGCAGATTTGTTCTGTTCTTCATCAAACTGTTTATGGATGCTGCTCCTGAAAACTTTAGCCTTTCAGATGGTTACCCTTACTTTGTACGATCTCTCTCTTTCTCTTGCTCGCTATCAGATTCCATTTATGGGTTAAGATCATATTAAAATGTTGGTTAAAGTTGACAATGGGACATAAAATGAGACACAAACTAAAGCAAAAGATCCATCCTTGATTGTAATAACATGGCAATTGACACCGTCTCCCATTTCTTTTGTTTATGGTGCAGCTGACATCTGAGTGGTTCCGTCCTGAGCATTTTGATACGTTTTGTAACAAACTTGAAGAGGACATACCCACACCAGAACAAGGAGTAGAACAAGTTCCAAGAAGAATTTCGCAAAGGATCACTGCACAACAAACTTTTCAACAACATTCACAAACATCTTATCAACCAAACAAAGATGTGGTCTTAATCATCGACTGATGCAGTTGATATCATTCCTTATAGGCTGGTTGACGTTTTTGCATTAATCGAAGGTGTTTATGAACAGATTATAATTAACTTGAAGGTTTTTTTTGAGGTGTATATAGTTTATAAGAGTGCAAAATATTCCATAAGACTTGGAGCAATGGAAGAAGTTATGTAGCTTCATTTAGAATTATTATTATCATTATTAGCTGCAGAATGTTTCAAAGGTTGGCGCTTAGGGGGAGTGACGAGTAATTATGTTTTTGAAGTCGCGCTTATGAACATTTAGCATGTATGTAGTGAGTACATCGTACTACTAATAAAACTTTTGTAATTCTTCACTCCTTTTTTTATTTGAAACTGAAACGTATTCCTTTTGTGAAGTTGTAAAATAAATTTCATTTCATTAGATTTATCGATCTATCTCTATTGTTGTTAAAACCCGTGTGCAATTAAAAGTAGACAGAAATTAAGAACAGTAAAAATGCAACTGATCTGCAGTATTCTTTAGAAGAGTAACAATGGAAAAAAAAAAAAAAAAAAAAAAAAAAAAGAGCAAATAATTGTTCGCGTCAGGTAGGGGTCGAACCTACGACCTTCTGCTTAGGAAACAGACGTTTTTGTTGTGTGATAAAGCTTTTGTCCATGATTTATATTATTAAAAGTCACACAACTATAAAACCAGAAAAGTATAGTCTTGGTATAAGGTCAGAAAAATTACACTCACCCGAAAAAAAAATTCACATAAATTGAAGCCATTGTCCTAAATTTACTAATCCGTAATGTACAACATTTGCAAAAAGTACTTTTCACTTGGTATATAAATATAATGCGAATATAGAAAAAACGCAATAAGAATTATCGTAAAATTAACCTAAAAAAAAAAAACTAACTCTATAACAATTCCAACTATTTCCATGCAAAAGAGAAAAAGAAAAGAAGCAAAGAAGATAGAATTATAGGAAGAAGAGGAAAGGGAAGGTATTCAGCCAACCACTTAGGGCCTGTTTTCTTCGGCTTAAATTCTGTATTTTAGATCAGTTCAGTTCAATTCAGCTCCTAATTTCGTTTTCTCATAAACAATTCATTTCATCTCTATTAAGTTCAATTCAGCTCCAATCAGTTATTTCAGTTCAGTAAATCAGAACAAACCCTTAGACTGGCTTGAGCTAAGTGGAATGTAAATCAAGTAATTTAGGTGATTAATTGATATAGATATCAACATATGACGTTGTCATCGAGGTAAAAAATTTGATTTCTATCCGTTGCAATTTTTTTAGGGTTAAGATTCTCTTATCCCCTTTCACCCGCCCAGCTTATCTTAAAGACTTGGGCTGGATTACCCTTGAAGTTTCCTTACTTACATAGCACTCTTAATGACATAAATCTATAAGTTGATCTTGAAGTAATTCATATCTAATTACTTGATCCAAAATTGCCTAAAAAATACTTCTAATGACCATAATTAGACATAATTGTATTCGAAATCATTTTGCATATTAATTATTTTGTTCTAATAAACTACCATTGTGCATGATTGGTTCAAATTAAAGAAATTTGACATCAGCCTAAATGTTATGTAATTTAAACTGTTTTATTGTAACCATATTATTATAAATCTAGTTAGATGAAAAAAAATACTTATTGTAAGTTACATACGTAAACGCAATTTTATGTTATTTATAAAACATTTTGTAATGGAGTTATATTGTCGTTATTACGTGATATACTTGTTTAATTTAATCATCTGAAGATACTTCTAATTTTTTTAAAAAAATAATGTAATTTCCATACAATATTTTTTTGCAACTACTGCAGTACTATAGCGCATTAGCACGACCCTTCCAAATATTCTCTTGCACACTACGATAATTTGAGATTGCTTGACCCTTAAAATAAACTATTTATATAGTTTATGTTCTTTTTTTCAATAACACCCTTATAAATTGTAAGGCTAGAGTTCTAGACCAATAAGTTGCTTATATATATATTATTAATATACAAAGTATTTTTATAATTATATAAAGTACAATTCTAGGTTATTTCATGATATGTTCTTCTATGAATGAATATTTGATACCTCCGTTATTAAATGTGTACAATTTGAATTTGTATACAGATAGAGTACTCGTATTAATTCATGTATCCTTAAACTATAAAATACACTTGTAAAATTTTAAAAAATATACATGTAAAATCATGTGGAACTAACCCTATTAGCTTAATTCAATATATACTCTTAAAATATCACTCCGTAATTTTTCATAATTTTATTACCAACAAATTGCGGTTTTCAGTTTTTTGTATCTTAAAAGTGTATGATATATGTCATATAATGAATAAAAAATTAGTCAAACTTATTAAAATCATGCTAATTTTGAAAACTGACAATAGAAAAGTGAAAATACCTTTTTTTTCTTGTTTCCAATTTTTGGTTTAAAAAAAACTGAAAACTGAAAACAAAAAACAATGCCAAACAAGCCCTAAGAAATTCATGATTTATACATTGATAAACATAAAACAAAACAAAAAGTGAAAAAATATTTTCGAAGCATATTTTTATAATATATTTTTTTTTCTTTGTGTTCCACCTAATTTACCCCTTTGATCTAATTCAAATTTAGGATCAGTTATGGATGGTTAAGTTCATGTCCCTTCTCAATTATTGTTGCGAGGATCTAAATATTTTATAACCTACAAGTATTTCATGTGTTCTTTTATTTTGAATGGTAAATCTGTATGGGTCGGGTTGTAGGATCTAAATTTCAATTTTCTATAATTTTATTTATTTTTACCAATCCAATATTTGAAAAAAAAAATAATAAAAAAAGGGGTGGAATAAACCAAAGAAATATAGAAAAAGGGGAAGAGAAAAGAGAGAAAGAAAGAGCCTTGTAGAGGATGACCTCATCCTCTCTTCTCCTTCTTCCTTATCATTCCTCTTCTTAGATCTTAGTTTTCGCATCTGGGTTTCCTTTCAATCGGTCTGTTTCTCTCTCTAATTCTCTCATTTCCCATTTTTCTCATAATTAATTCTGGGTTTTTCTTTGTTTATTGATTTTCTATTTATTTTCCCATTGATTCAGGAATCCTAGATTGATTTGTACACGATCCGATGTCCCTGGATTAAATTGGCAATATCCCCCTTTTTCATTGATCAGAATTCTATACTGGGTTCTGCTCATTTCATATAAAAAAAAGAGGTAAATTTTTTAAATTTAATTTTTGGTTTTTATGTCGATTTAGTTTGTTTTTTTGCCTTTAATTTCATTGAATTGGTCGTTTGCTGAGTTGGGCATTTGAAATTTGATGATTTTGATCTATTAATAGTCAATTTAGCTGTATAATTTTTATTTTTAGGTTGAATTTTGATGTTTGCATTATATGATTGCTTAATTTTATTGCATTTTAGAGTTTATGGTAATGATGGGAATAAATGAAAACCCTTTATGAGGTTTATGATGATGTTATTGAAATTGAATTGCAGAAAAATAAGAAGGAAAAAAATGGAATCAGATCTTGGTAAGCTTTTCATTGGTGGGATCTCATGGGACACGGATGAGAGTAGGCTTAAGGAGTATTTTGGGCAATATGGAGAAGTAGTGGAAGCTGTGATCATGAGGGATCGAATTACAGGCCGTGCCCGTGGCTTCGGTTTTATTGTCTTTGCTGATCCTGCTGTTGCTGAGAGAGTTGTGATGGACAAGCACATGATCGATGGCCGAACAGTGAGTAGATTGATTGTGATTGTTGATGTTCTGCATACCTTGATAACGTAATTTCAGATTGTGCATTAGCTCTTATGTCGAATAATTATGCTGTGTACATTAGTTCATTAGTGCTTGCTATAGCCTCGCTAAGTTGCATTGACATGTTTGATCAGTCAGTTTGCGACTTGTGTAGCTTGAAATGAGTAATGTACAGACATGCTACTAGATGTTTAAATTGACTTTGACATGATTTTTGATGAAAATTGTTTCTCTTTGACCTTTTTGGCTTAGGTTGAAGCAAAGAAAGCAGTCCCAAGGGATGATCAGCAAATTCTGAGTAGAAACAATAATATGATCCAAGGATCTCCCGGTCCTGGACGTACCAAAAAGATATTTGTAGGAGGTTTAGCATCAACAGTTACCGAGAGTGACTTCAAGAAGTACTTTGATCAATTCGGTATTATTACAGATGTTGTGGTAATGTATGATCACAACACCCAAAGGCCAAGAGGGTTTGGGTTCATTACTTACGATTCAGAAGATGCTGTTGATAGGGTGTTGCATAGAACTTTCCATGAACTTAATGGAAAAATGGTTGAGGTTAAGCGAGCTGTACCTAAAGAGATGTCTCCAGGCCCTAGTCGCAGCCCTGTAGTAGGATATAATTATGGCATGAGTAGGGCTAGCAACTTCATTAACAACTATGCTCAAGGCTACAATCTTAACTCTATTGCTGGATATGGTAGACTTAATCCGCTTGTTACTGGTCGAACTGGGCTTCCACCATTTGGTAATCCTGGATATGGAATGGGTATGAATATGAATATGAATATGGAGCCAGGGTTAAGTGCTAACTACAGTGCCAATTCTAATTTCAGCAACAACCAGGGTTATGGTCGTGTTTTGGGACCTTATTATAGTGGCAACTCAAACAGGTACAACACTCCAATCGGATATAATGTTGGTAATACAAGGGGTGATTCGTTGGCAAATTCAACAGCAAGAAATGTCTGGGGAAATGGATCTTTTAACAATCCTACAAATCCCCCAGTCCTGGTGCTTTTCTGGGATCTGGTAGTGGAAATTTTGGGGTCTCGTTTGGTAACAATGGAGCCAATTGGGGTACATCTCCTACAACATCCCAAGGTGGGGGTAATGGTTCTGGATATAGCAGTGGGAATCTCGGGTATGGTTTTGGTGAAAGTTATGGGTTGAGCGGTGGAGGCTATGGAAGAACTCATAACACTGATGTTGCTCCCCCATCTACATTTGCAGCATCAACAGGTGGTTTTGATACATCATATGGTGACCTATATCGTGGTACGTCAGGGTATGGTGATTCAACATGGCGTGCTACTTCTCCTGAGCTTGATGGATCTGGTACATTCGGCTTTGGTTTAGGCAGCGCAGATATTGCATCAAGAACTTCTGAGGGTCTAATTGGAAACTATAGTGCGTCAAGTAGACAAGCAAGTAGAGGTAAACTTCTTTAATTTCCCTTCCTTTCCATAAACTTTGCAATTTATGATTTTACCAAAGAGAGTTGAATTATGAATATTCATGTGCTAGCTTAGATCTAGGTTGAACTTTTGTAAGTTGCCTGTAAAGATGCTAGAAATTTAGGGGATTGTAGGATATTAATATCAAATGGCCAAGTATGATTATTCCGGATCATAGTTATCTGTTGTCTTAAAGCCCGACTCCCATGCCTTTTGATTTTGGTGTACCCTTGTTGGAAATATCCAAAACATTTTAACACATAAAACTGACCCTTCACTCATCAGTCAAAACACAAAACTTGACCTAGTTTGTGCTCCTTTCAGGTCAAACCTGAGTTGCAGTGTCATCTAAACAAACTTCATGCTCATTTTCTTTTATCCATTGAACAAAAAGAAAATTAGGGTAGAATAAGAGTAGTTTTTCTTCCCTATTTCTGTCTTGCTATGTCCAAGAGTATTTTCTTCTTTATCTTTTGCTGTGAACTTAAGTTTCTTATAGAATTTTTTAGCTTCAGTGAAAGATAGCATCACTTTGAATTTAGAAGTGATGCATTACTTTAGAATGTGTTGGATTATATTACTAGGTTTTTTGAAGTCCTCAGCCTCAACAGTATAATTGATTTCCATATCCACCGATAGATACTTAGTCTACTTAATATTATTGCTTTCCTTGTTAGGGCTGACTGGAAAGACTAGAATATATATTTAGTCCTCTTTTATTTTCCTAGCTTCAGTGTAAGATAGCAGCATGAAGCCGAAATAATTTTTAAGTCATGTGATTGGAGTGAACACCAGTTTCAACATCAGGCAGGTTAGGCATACCCAAAAGGTTTGGTTTATACGGGTCAGTCCCTTACTCTCCTGGGTTAGGAATGTCACCCTGATACTGGAGGAAACT